AAGGTAAGGCGCAATAGCTGAGGGAAGGCCGTGGGACTCCTCCTCGTCTCTGCCTTTCCTCCTCCCCTATGCTCCTCCTCCTGCCCATGCCCGCGCTGCTACTGCTGTTTTGCTGCCCCTCCCTCTCCACCTATCCCTTATCACTCCTGCCGTGATTCCTTGTGAGGCTATGCAATGCTGTGCTAAGCCATGCGCTGTAGATTCATCTATCGCCAGTCTTCGCGACGCGGCTGCTAGGCCGTAATTGCGCGAGGTGGTTGGGGTCGGGTAGTTCACTGCCGCGCTGCGCTTGGCGGCCATGCGTGCTGACCCATCGCTTTCTTTGCTGTTCGGCCGCTGGCATATCGAGTCTAAGGGCCTGCGGCGCGAGAGTGGCCATGCAGGCTGTCACCGCCGTCAACGGACGTCGCAACTCGATTGAGAAACGCCAGAGCGCGGAGCCGGGGATGAAGGGTGGACGCGGGAGGAAGGGAGCGACGGGGGAGGCGGGCTTCTTCGCATTCATCGCTCTTCTTCTCATCGTGCCTCCTCCTCCCCCCCTTCCACGCCCTCCTCCTCCTCCTCCCCCTCCTCCTCTTCCCCCTTTTCCTCCCCCCCGCCTCCTCCTCGTCGTCGCCCCCTCGCCCTCCTCGCCCTCCTCCTCGTCCTCAGCCTCGTTCTCCTCCGTTCTCACGTTTATCCCCCCGCTCCTTCCCTGGCGTCGTCCTGGCAGGGGTCGCGCGCCTGCCCCCGCCCCCCCCCCCCCGCCTGCTGCGAGGACATCGGCGACGTCCTGCGCTTCACCGTCAAGGACAACCTGGTGGAAAGGCCCCGCTCCGCTCCTCCCCAGCGAGGGTTCGCGCGCGGTTTCCTGGAGCTTCCTGGGCAAGAAAGCTGGCTTGGCAGACGAGAGGGCCAAGGTGCAATGCCTGCCACGGGGGAAAGGTTGCCAATCAAGACCTTCGGGGGGCCCTTAACTAGGGGGCCTGTGAGTGACTGCCCAGTCCTGAGTGGGCGAGGGGAGAGGAGGCGGACAAGGATGCGCACTGCAAATGATTGCACTGAGTAGGAGGCAAGGTGGATGGCGAGGAGGGCGAGGTGGATGAGGACAGGGTGGGCGAGGGCGAATACTCGGGCAGTGGGGCGAGGGGGAGTTGGGCGAGGGCGAGGCGCGGCACGATACGCGAGGAGACGTCGAAGCCAATGCGATGACGTCGAGGATCGAGGGCGAGTCGCATCGCCCACGTGATTGCGACAGCTGTTGTGCCCAAGATGGTGGGGTCCCCGGGGAGTGTCGAGGAGGATCGTGATCCAGTCTTCGAGGCGCAAATGCCTCGAGCGCAGTGCGCCCTTCTCCTGGCTGATGCAGCCATGGGCGTATATGTGTCGTTCTTGCGTTGCGCTAATCGGTATTGGCGCAGCTCGCAATGCACCGACGCCATCCCCCTGGTCACCACGTCGCCACCATCCCAAGGCACCTCAGCCTCAGCCGCGTCACTTGTTGGGGCACTTCGGGGGTGGCGCCCGACGTAATGCGAGCTGCTCGCAGGGAGTTCCCTGACTCAGACCTTGGCGGCCTCGACGAGAGACCCAAAGATGCCACCCTCGAATGCGATGCCCCCTCCCACGTCCACGGGAAAGGGCTTGTCCAACATGCGCTAGGGAGGGGGGAGGGAGGAGGAGCAGGAGGAGAAGGAAGGGGAGGCGCTGCTCTGCTGTTGCGTCGCCTGTGCTTGATAGATGGGGGGGGGGGGGTCTTTCGCGGCAGCTTGTATGTATCTTTCAATTCAGGCTTCTCCGACGTTGCCACGCAGAGGAAGGTAATGTCGCCTTCCGAGACAAGATTGCATCCGCGTCTTCCCTCCTCCTCTTCTTCGTCATCCTCCTCGTCCCCCCTCTCCTCCTGCACCTCCCTCCCCCTTTTCCTCGTCCCTCCCCCGCCTCCTCGCTTGCTCGCCCCCTCACTGGAGAGGGAGGGGGCAGAAGGGGGTACGGGGAGGAGGAGGAGCAGAGCAGGCAAGCCAAGTTACTCGGCAGGAGTCGCCTCGGCATTTGTTAGTTGAGGCTGTGGCTGGGTCTTGGAGAGATCCTTCCCCTCCTACTATGCCTCTGTTCCAGCAGCCTGGTTAGCTTTTGCCTGGTTCGCTTTTTGCATTCCGCGGGCTGGAACTCCAGCTTCTTGGCAAAGAGGCGTCGCGCGATACAGGGCCTCGGTCGTGTGGCGCGCGGTGCTGGCTACCGGAGTGGATTCTGGTTCGCGACAGCGTTTCGCGTCCGAGAAAAAAATGATCGAGCGTTGCTCATCGGTCATCTCGTCAAGTTGCTGGCCACTTCCAGTCCACAGGCGAGGGGGGCGGGGAGTGCCGTGTCGCGGGGTGAGGGGAGAGGCAATTCCGTCTTCCGTCTCCCAGGGGTTGCAAGGACGGAGGGAGAGGGGGAGACTTAGGGACTCCTTGACGCTCCGAGCATCGCCGCCAGCCCACCCAGCAACGACGCCCAGGCGAGTTCGTGAAGGAGGGAGGTAGTTGAGCGTACAGGGAGGAACGAGGCTCATCCTAGTGAACTTAGAGACCTCCGCTGGGAGCCCCCTGGAGCCATCTCCAGACTCTCTTTGGGCTCTGTTGGGAGTCTTTGGGGCGCTCCTGGTGGGGCGGAAGCGGGATCAACACAAGTCGCCCATCGTCACCCAAGTCTGCAACGCCCAAGGAGGGCATTTTTTTGTCGCAGGAGGGGAGTCCCGAGAGGAACCGGGCCTACAGCCCTCGACAAAATTAGGGTCAAAAATTGTTGACGCGCCGCTGTCATGTCGCTCCAATGTCGTCCCCGTCCACGTCGATGCGGGGGAGACGCGGTCCGGGCCGGCGCGACTCTAACTTCCATGATGGCCTGCTTTTGAGGGAGGGGGCCAGGAAGTATCCAACTGCTTGTGGCACGTCTCGCCACTGTGCCAGCGCAGCATTCTCGGTGGCGACTGTTCGAGGGGGCACGGGAAACCTTCACGTGTTTTACGTCGCGTCCCCAGGTTTTGGGGGCCGTGATGAGGGTGAGGATGAGGATAATATAAGACGAGGATGAGGATGAGGAGGAGGATGATGCTGATGATGTTGCTGAGGATGATCAGGATGATGAGGATGATGAGGATGATGAGGATGATAATGAGGATGATGATGGTGATGATGATGATGATGCTGATGATGGTGATGGTGATGGTGATGATGGTGATGGTGATGGTGATGGTGATGGTGATGGTGATTGTGATGGTGATGGTGACTGTGGTGGTGGTGGTGGTGGCGATGGTGATTATGATGGTGGTGGTGTTGTTAAAGGTTGATGCGGATGCGAATTGTGATGAGGATGATGATCATGATCAGTGTCATGATCATGATCTTGGTCATGATGAGGGTGGTGGTGGTGGTAAAGCATGATTGTGGTGGTAGTATTGATGAGATGATGTTGATGGTGATTGTGGTCGTGATGGTGTTGGTGATGGCGTTGGTGTTGGTGATGATGATGATGATGATGATGATGGTTGTGGTCATGATGATGGTCATGGTTATGGTCATGGCGATGTCCATGCGGATGTTGATGCTGATGAGGATGCTGATGATGAGGATGAGGATGAGGATGAGGATGATGAGGATGATGCTGATCGTCATGATGATGAGGAGGAGGAGGAGGAAGAGGAGGAGGGGCGGATGATGAAGAAAACGATGAGGATGGCGATGATGAGGATGATGTGACGGATACGGAGGAGGAGGAGGAGCAACAGGAGGAAGAGGAAGAGGAAGGCAGTCACATGTGTCACCTCTCGTTTCCACTACTTGAGGAACCCTCATCGAACTCGTTTGAGCCGTCGTGTGGCTGCCTTGGCCTCCTGTGAGGCAGTCTTGGGGGCCCTAGGGGGCCCTCTTGGGCCGTCTTGGGGCCATCTGACGCCGTATTGGGGCTCTTCTGCGCAGTCTCGGGGACCTCTTGACCTGACCTTATGGTGGGTGCCTGTGTGCCGTTGTTTGGCCGATTGGCGCCGTCTTGGGCAGGCGGAGGGTCTTCTAAGGCCGTATTGGGTCCCAGGGGGGGTCCTCTTGGGCCGTTTTGAAGCCAAAGTGGGCCGTCTTGGAGCCATCTTGGGCTGTCTTGGAGGCACATTCGCCTCGGCAGCGCGCATCCGTCGCATTTCACTATGGATTGTCGCCTCGGGGCCGCAAATTCGGTGTACTTCACGACGGAACACGAGAGCGAATCTGTCGTGTTTTGAAATGGATTGCGGCCTCGAGAGAGGGGGCGATGCATGGGGCGCAGTGCGACGAGAGGGGGGGGGGCGCTATAAGATTACACAGAAACCCTACCAGGCAGCACTAGGCATTCCAGCACGCCTCAATGTGCCTTTGGGCACGGTGACGGATTTCGCATGCAGTGCCACCCAGACCCAGAGCATCAAATGCACGAGCAAATCGCGTCACGCGCTTGGGAATTTCATCGTGTCGAGGGTCGTAGGCTCTTGAGTCTCCCATGCAGACCACCCCCTTCTTCCTCTGGGCGGCTGCTCTGAAGGTCCCCGGGCCCGTGGAGGACCCCAGGGGCCCGAAGTCTACGGAACAAGTCCAGGGCCCGCTTCCTTGCTGCTGGGATTGGGACGGCCTCTTTGCCGTCGAAAGAAGGATACTAGGTCTCCTGGATGGGTCGGAGCAGCTGGGGTCGCAAGATCGCGCCGCATCGGCGATGCATCGGCGGTGCGGTTCGATGCGGAGGCCCACTGTTCTTCACGCCGGCGTCGAGGATGTATCGCCGACGTCGCGACCCCCATCCAAGGGGCCTCTAATGCAATAACCCGTAGACCTAAAGAGCACACTGAAGACGTGGCCTCGCTCAGGTCCCCGTCGTTGCATCAGGATCGCGGATCTGGGTCGTCTGGTTCGATACATCCGGAGGAAAACAGATCCCTAATGTTTTGGGTCTCTTAAGTTAAGTCCGCTCCCAAAGGGTTCGGGGTGCTTCTATTGCTTATTAGAGGGGCGGTCGAGGCGCAATCGGCTACGGCATCGTGGTCCTGGCTTTCCGAGGGAAGCTGCTGAAGTGCAGGGCGCTGGCGCTGATCGTCACAGGCGCAGCCCTCCCTCCGGAACAGGGGGGGGGGCACAGAGCGGGAGCAGCAGCGGGAGTGCGGAAGGATCCATCGAGGCTCGATGATTGGGCCTCTCGCCGCGTGCAGACAAACCACCATGACAGCTCGCCTCTTGGGCGCGAATAACTAGGGGGGCGATAAATAAGAGGGGGGGGGAAGGTGCCCCTTTCGGGCCCTAAAGGCCCCCCCCTGGAACCCTGAATGGCCCCTTCAGGGGCCCTCAAGTGCCCCTTTTCTGCAGCCCCCCCCCCGCTGTATCGCCCCCCAGTAAGTTGCGCAGAAGCGGGAGCAGCATCGGGAGCGCGGAAGGATTGCTTTCGGTAGCAAATCATGGGAGCAGTGTGGACCCTCTGAATTCCGTCTTTAGCGCCGATTCGCGTGCAGCGATTGGGAGTCGATGAGTCAGCGCCGATTCAGCGTCGGTTAGAGTCGATTTAGCGGCGATTCAGCGTCGATTCGAGTCGACCTGCGTCGATCAGCATCGAGTCGCAAGATCCGACGAGATGGTATGGTATGGGACGCTCCCATGAATCGCCGCCGAAATGCCTCCTCGTCCCTGCCATCCTCCTCCTCTTCTTCCCCTCCTTCTCCTCCCCTCCTCCTCCTCCTCCTCCTCATCCTCTTCCTCCTCCTTCTCCTCCCCTCCTCCTCCTCCTCCTCCTCCTCCTCCTCCTCCTCCTCCTCCTCCTCCTCCTCCTCCCCGCCATCCTCCTCGCTATCCACCTCGCCCTTCTCAGGAGGAGGGCCGTTGAGGGCGAAGCTGAGGAGGAGGAGGACGAGCAGCAAAAGCAGCAGCAGCAGGGTCTGACAAGGGTGCGGCGTGGCAGGAGGTCGAGTGCCTGACGAGTTGGCGCGCGCGCGTGCGCGTGTCGCGGCGAGGCCTGTGGGTGCGATGGGAGCTCGAGGACCGGTGCGGCGACAAGGGCTACGCGGATTGCTTCCAGGACCCGCCCCCCGTGGGGGTCGGGGGACACGTCGGGGGCGGTGGGCCCCATCGCAGGAAGCTTCGAGCGGCCATCTTAACTTTAAGCCTTTCGTAGGGAGCTTCGCGGAGCGTCGTGGGCCCTTCGCAGGAAGCTTTAAGTGGTTCTCGAAACCTCGTCTTGAAGCGGTTCTCGCAGCCTTTGGTCAAGAGGCTCCCATGCCCATGCAAGCCCTAGATGCAGAGGTTCCCACGCCCTGGCAAACCCCAGGTGCAGAGGTTCCCATGCCCCTGCACAGGGCAATGCGGGCCGCCGGCATAATCTTAGGCCGTTACCCGAGCGTGACCCTGAGCCTGGACGCCTGAAACGGGGCCCTTTCGGACGCGGAGTTTGAGTTTGCGTTCCGTGTCCTCTGTGCCGCTGATGCCGTGGTATCTGTCGGCGGCGAGCGAGGGGTGGAAGTGAGAAGGGGCGGGCCTTCTCAGAAGGCTCGCGGAAGTCCCCCGGCCTTCTGAGAAGTTTTCTAAGCCTTCTCCGAAAACAGAAACAACTTCTCAGAAGGCGCGAGGGCTTCTGAGGAGTCCCGCCGCCTTCTGAGAAAGAAGGCCTTCTCCTTCTCACTTCCCCCCCTCGCTCGCCGCCAAATCTGTTCTCGCGGGTCCTTTCTTCCAGCGGGTCTCGTGTCCAGCTGCTCCCGCGGGCCCCGCGCCCTCCGATGCGGCGGGTCCCGTGCCCTCCAGCGCCGCGAGCTCTGGGGCTCGGGAGCCCTGCAGCAGGAGGAGGAGGAGGAGGAGGAGGAGGAGGAGGAGGAG